ACAGTGTGACTGAGCACTTACTTTTAATGTAGTCAGCTGAATGCACACAGGGCCCCCATAATTTTCTATTTACAGGTATACATGGAGACTATATTAATTGGATGAAGCAGAGGAGGAGACAGGGCTGGGTGGGTCATCAATGTCGCTTTCTTCAGACAGGTTTATGTACTGTGGAAACTTGCTGGTTGAAGGTATTGGATCATTTTGAGGGAGTGAAGAGGCAGCACTGCTGGGGCGTGAGGAGACAGCACTGGGGGACTTCTTAAAATAGATGTCCAATTTAGACTGCACAGTTTGCTTTTTCTTTTCATTATAAATTTCTCTGTAACAAGCAAGTGAATCTTGGACCATTCTGTCAACTTTGGCAAAACGCTCATAATTTTGATCCATTCCATTAAACATTTGCATCCCTTTATTAATTGTAGCAAATGCCTCTGCCATTTGCCTCACTGAAAATTTTTTAGGGGGTGCAGGTCCTTCGTCTACATTTAGACTCGCTTCTTCCTCTGCATCTTTGTGTGCTTCCAGTTCGATGAGAACTTCGTTACTTAGCTCTTCTGCTACACTTTCAACCAACTGTTCAACATCTTCATTATCAATTTCTAACTGAAGCTGTTTACCTAACTCCAATATCTTGTTACTAATAACCGAAATAACTTCATTTTCATTAAATCCTCTAAAACTGTTCACATATCTTTTCAGGACTTTCTTCAGTATTCCATTCATGCAATGTTTTGTAACCTGATCCCATGCTGCACTAATATTCTTTATACATGACAAAAAGTTGTACTCCTTCCAAAACTCTCTGAGCGTTTTCTCACCTTCAGTAGCAGCAACAGCCTGAGCGAAGGTCGTACAAAAATAATACGCTTTAAAGGCAGCAATAGCACCTTGATCCATGGGTTGGATGACAGAGGTAGTGTTAGGTGGAATGTACACTACCTTAACATCAGGGTGCATGTCGTCCAGGTGTGGTGGGTGTCCCGGAGCATTATCCAAAATCAGCAAAATCTTGAATGGAATCCGTTGTTGCAGACAATACTCCTTGGCTTGAGGAATGAAACAATTCATGAACCAATCCTCAAACAGTACAATGGTCATCCAGGCTTTCTTGTTACTGCGATAAAACACTGGCAGTGTGTGCTTGCTGACATGTTTAAAAGCCCTGGGGTTCTCTGAATGATAGATCATGAAGGGCTTGATCTTGAAACCAGCAACATTCCCCCCCAACAGAAGTGTAATTCTGTCCTTGAATGCCTTGAATCCTGGCATTGTTTTCGCCTCTTTGTGGATGTATGTCCGCTCAGGAATGCGCTTCCACAATAATCCAGTCTCATCCACATTGAATATTTGCTTACCGTAGGCAAATAATTCCCTTCCACAATCACATGATCTAACTCCTCCTTAAAAGCTTTGGCAGCACCAACATCAGCACCAGCTGCCTCTCCACTCACCTTAACAATATGTAAACTGTAGCATTTTTTAAATCTGTTAAACCACCCATGACTTGCTGTGAAGGTTTGCTCACATTCATCTCCTGCCTGCTCCTTCAGGCTTTGGAACAGGCTTCTTGCTTTAGCCTGTATGGTTAGAAGGCTTAAGGGTACACACTTCTGTATTTGGTCTTCTATCCATATTACCAATAACTTTTGCATATCGCAAATAGGACCTTGTCTTTTCTTCATAATTATAGTTCCCTTTATAGGTGTTGTTCCTTTCACTACATCACGAAAACGTTCCTTGTCCTTCAGAATAGTGGATATGGTTGAGTGTGAGAAACCTAGGTAGCGTGAGATTGTTGCTACAGTTTTCCATTCTTATACTGCATTATCATCTTCATTTTCATCTCAAAAGTATTTGCCGGTCTCGTTTTCTTCAGAGCACCACCAGCACTCTCACTTGTACGCTTTCCAGTCATTATAAAGTCAATTAAATACGATAATAACGTAAGTACACAGCGCAATCAGTATAGGATATGATAGCCAAACACCAACTAAGCGCTGTACTGGGTGGGAGCTGTACCCACGCGGTGACCCAAGCCACGCTCTCGCCCGGGACGGAAACGTTTCGGTATAGAAAATGCGGGCGTCATTTGAAAAAATTTTTGGTCCCGACTGCGAGGTCGTATGTGCGGACGGTCGTACGGTCAGAGAAGGTCGTAAGAGCGGATGGACGTAGGTCGAGTCAGTCGTAAGTCGGGGACTACCTGTACTGTATTAATAAGATGGTGAAAAAGATGAATAATAATAACACTTTTCATCCTCCGCCTTACAGGAGGCATCTGTGTAGTGTTGGAGGCAGTTGTGTAGTGTTGGAGGCAGCTGTGTAGTGTTGGAGGCAGCTGTGTAGTGTTTGAAACAATTGTGTCATGTTGGTTGCAGGTGTGTGGTGTTGGAGGCAGCTGTGTGATATTGGAGGCAACTGTGTGTTGTTGGAGGCAGCTGTGGTGTTGGAGGCAGCTGTGTGGTATTGGAGGCAACTGTGTGTTGTTGGAGGCAGCTGTGGTGTTGGAGGCAGCTGTGTGGTATTGGAGACAACTGTGTGTTGTTGGAGGCAGCTGTGGTGTTGGAGGCAGCTGTGTGATGTGGAGACAACTGTGTGTTGTTGGAGACAGCTGTGGTGTTGGAGGCAGCTGTGTGCAGTGTTGGAGGCAGCTGTGTGGTGTGGAGACAACTGTGTGTTGTTGGAGAGCAGCTGCAGTCTGTTGTTGGAGGCAACCGTGTGGTGTGGAACAACTGTGTGTTGTTGGAGAGCAGCTGTGGTGTTGGAGGCAGCTGTGTAGTGTTGGAGGCAACTGTGCGTTGCTGGAGGCAACTGTGGTGTTGGAGGCAGCTGTGTGGTATTGGAGACAACTGTGTGTTGTTGGAGGCAGCTGTGGTGTTGGAGGCAGCTGTGTGGTATTGGAGACAACTAACTGTGTGTTGTTGGAGGCAGCTGTGGTGTTGGAGGCAGCTGTGTGGTATTGGAGATAACTGTGTGTTGTTGGAGGCAGCTGCAGTGTTGGAGGCAGCTGTGTGGTATTGGAGACAACTGTGTGTTGTTGGAGGCAGCTGTGGTGTTGAAGGCATCTGTTTTATTGGAAACTTTTCAGTTTTTCAAATCCACTCATATGGCAACTTGGCTTTGGCTACAGTTATAGTTAATGAACATTTTAATGCAACTACGCTTAGTACTACAGTACTGTACAGGTATCCCCTATTTACAATGGGGTTAGGTTCCTGAAAAACCCATTGCAGGTAGAAATATTGTAAATTGGGTTCATTATAACATGGAGTTCAATGGGATCTGTTCCCAGCCTGTCTGACACCCACAAGTATATATAAAAAAAAAATGCTAAAACTACACCTACAACACAATTGAACAACACTTACCATACCATTAAGAACAAGCCTGGTCGTCATTACATGTCCTCTTCGAGGCTAAGGGGACTCTTGAAGGTGGAGTAGAGATGAGACGTTACCTCACTAACTCCCACACTGCCTCTGGGAAGTCTCATGTTGCTTCAGTGTCAAGCTTCACCCCCAGAGACACGTTTTTACTGGGTTCTTTGGCCTTCCCATACATTTTCAAAGTTACACTACTCACTATCAATCAAAAACAGAGGGAAAGATGATAACGTATTGCAGCCGACACTGCTCACAACAAAGGTAGAGCACTTTACAGTCACTAAAAACAGCAAAAATAACTTCACAGCCACCAAAACAGAGTACAATGTGAACGTTAGTGATGTCCTCTCACTCCAAGTAAAAAAAAAACACAAATGATAAAGTCACAACACCGGTACTGACCGATAATCGTTGAGCTACACGATCACGGCCATGTATGATCACCGTGGAACAAAGCTTGGTACTGTAATGCACCGGGTGGCCACATGGTAGCGTGTGGGTAGACAGCAGCTGACAAGTGAGCCGTGAATTTTACGGCCACCACTGATATGTTCCGCTTCCTCCCCCTTTACCAGAACCTTAAAGAGATGAGAGCAGTTGCTTTTGATGAACTGCAGAAGAGGACCAACATGAAAACTGTTTCAATTCAATTCAATAGGGACTACTTCCTCACGGTTCTTGTTCCAGTAACCAGATGCCCTAATGCTGTTTCCTATGGCAGGTTGCCTAGTACCAGTGGTGAGTGTTTCTGGCCCCATCCCTCAACATCAAAGATTGCACACTTACCACCTTTACTATCACCACCACCACATGTGTTGTCATCATCCTGTCCATCACCATGACCCAGCATTTTGTCAGCGAAGGAAATCCTTCATATTACTCCTGAGGTGCCTCTCTCCTTCATGGAGAGAGAGAGGACAGTGGTAGTTAGTACCAGCTGCCACAGTAGATGGTACAGGACAAAGGCAGACAATCCAGTATCATCATATCACCAATTGGCCTGTCTGCATCACAAGCTGAAGACAATATTATCAGCTGGTGAGTACTGTATAATATATAGTGTATAGTACTGTAATATATAATATTTATTTACAATATATTGTACATGTACAGTGGTGTTTGCATAAATAAACACATCTGTCCGACAGCAGTTAAGCCACTCCGTGTGAAATGTGTAGTTTAAACGAGGAATCATTCATCAGTATGATACCAGGAGAAATTCAGGGGAAGTGTGATTTTTTCCGGGGATAAGAAAATTTGTTTCAATACTCGGAAATCTCTCAAACCCGGAACTGCTCTGCACCAATTATTCCGGCTAACAGGGAACAGGGAGATTACTCTCTATACTGTGGTGATCTTATTAAGTGCCTATCACTAGTGGTGAGGACAGAGTATTAAGAAAAAGGTTAAGAAATGAGCAGATACATATGCATTTGCTGTACTTTTACACCAATGGTTTCCTCCATCTACTTTTTTTTACCCTTTAGTCCTCACTAGTCATGTTATCTGCTCTGTTCTATCCAACACTGTAAGTGAGAGGATATAACAAGAATATGACTTTGATACGAGGATCAGCAGAAGTCTGGATGTCTTAAGATTAAACATGAGCCAAAATACAGAAAACAGTTTATTTGATAAACAAAGTTTCATACAAGTGCTTAAGATATTTATTAGTTACTATAATAACTATGACTTAATGCAGTTTACATAAGACAAGTGGGATTTCCAAATGATAACAAATCCAAAGCATTATGCATAATAATGTACTAGAGCAAACCTTATGTTACTAGATTTGATGACATGAATGAATATTAGTGACCTTTAAAATGTACACCTATCCATCCTATTCTGTTTTTCTAATTACAGTAATCCTCAAATTGCAACACGCATCTTGTGATAAAAAGATTTTGTGCCACTGTTTTGAAATTGTACACCAAGATTAGCATTCATAAAGCACATTACATGTCCCAATAGGCCTTCTCACAACCCACAACTATTAGGTCTCTCAGGTGCCTTTCAGTCATCATGGAAGATGTATGTTCATCGTCATTTAGTAGCCCACGTCACCCCCCCATAACTTTATTTTTAGGAGTTTTCTTTTCTCATGATTTTTAGGCAAAACAGTTGCCAGGGTTTTTCATAGTTGCAGTTCAAGAGTTAAACATCATTTGAGCATTTATTAAAACCACGTGCCCAATGTTACAGCCGCCTCTTGCGTCGTCCTTCTGCATCATCATCTCCTGCTGAGAAAACATACAAATGTTTATGTAAAAGCAAAGACAAATGAAACTGATTTTTAAAGTAATACTTACCAGATGACTGATTACTTGTACTTAATGCAAACAAGAGATGCTAAATGACTCAGTATAAACTACAGACTTCTTACACAGCTTAAATTGAAAAATATTTCAATAGTATTCTTTGACAAGTCAGACATGGCATTTTTTTCTCCAAAATATAGGCAAGTGAAGATTTCCTATAGATATAAATGAATGTTAAAAAACGAGGTACAGTACAACATGGTGATACAAAAAGAAGGGTGATCCCTATTACTTGGGAATTACCTGTAATTATATGAGATCAGTAGGCTAGAGAGGGTCACTGTTTTTTATGCTATGAACATCCTATTTGGCCATAATAAGTGATTTTCAAAGTTTAAAACTGGGAGTTAACTTTCTAAATATTCATCATTTACAATCATGGAGTAGAAAACTCCCAGGTTTAAGCTCTGAAATACCCCAGCCTAGTGAAGCCAGCCATTCTACTACTCAGGGGTGGGCTAGAGGTACATAAGACAATTGTAAACAAGTCATTACAACACTTTGTAGCTATTACAGTGGGGTATGCTATAACAAACGGATCCTACTACGAATATTCCTATAAGGAACGGTTTTACCTATAAAATTGAGAATGCTATAACGAACGCAACTCCTACAACGAACGCGGATGAACACGGGACTATTTCGTCTGGTGCATGAATATTGTTGTACAGCGGCTCACAACAAGAGCGTCAGGCGCCATCTTTGTCTCATTGTGTAGCCAGTGCACCACTGTTATTGTTGAAATTTCGTCTTTTGATGTGGAAATTCGTGTTATTTGTATAACTATTTTGTTATACAAGTATACAATTGTAACAATGAATCGTCCAAAGCGAGTGAGAAAGCAAATAACCCTTGAAACTAAGAAAGAAATCATAAAGAAATGTGAAAATGGAACAACCATTGCGAAACTTAGTGATGAGTATGGGATGGCTAAATCGACTATATGTACGATTTTGAAGAATAAAGAGGAGTTAAAAACTGTGCAAGTGGCTAAGGGAATTTTTAGACTTAGCAAAGCAAGGTGTAATGTGATTGAGGAGATGGAAAATTTACTCTTAGTGTGGATAAAGGAGAAAGAAATGGCAGGTGATAGCATTAGTGAAGCTATAATTTGTGAGAAGACCAAACAATTGTTTGAGGACCTTAAAGCCAAGACTCCCAGTGGAAGTGATAGTGATGTGCCAGTGTTTAGGGGTACCTGCATGCTGAACAACACTAAAGAAAGATAAAGTACCGTATTTTTTACATTTTCCACAGAAAATTTTCAGTGTTAAGTGGTTGTATTTCGGGGCCTGGGACGGATTAATCCTATAACGAACGAATGCTATAACGAACGAGGTTCTAGAACCAATTGGATTCGTTATAGCATACCCCACGGTAATTGATTATACTGTACTTAGTAACTATTTTATTTACCTCTGTATAAAAAGTCAAGATAATTTCCACCAGCAGTGTAAAACCTTATTTTTTCCAATGAAGAAAAGTCTCAATTGTCTTTCTAGAAAGGATTCTGTAACTGAAGTTAATTACACAGCAACATAAAAAAAAATAAAATCAAAGCACTGATTTCTGAACAACTAATAGTACAGAGAGTGATCAGACAAGTGATAATATCAATTGTGTTTACCAAGGAATTCTGTTGCTGACTTCCCTCATTAAACAAAGCTTTTAAAGCATAATGTACCTTTCAAAAGAAAAAAGAAAAGAAAAAGAAAATAAAAAGACGATTAAATAAATCATAATCTCATTGTCATTATCATCACCTTTTAAGGCCACTTTCCATGCTTACAAAGGTTAACCACAAAAACCTCATAGCATGATGGCCAGGTTACCATTAAGTGAATTTGTAGCAAGTTTTATGGTTAGATGCCCTGTACCTGGCAAGGTAAAATATTTTTATTCATACAAGAGGACTAGGGTAAGACGATAATTGTTAAATAGGTGATCCCTTAAAAAAAAAAGAAAAAAAAAGTATCCCCAGATAATGTAGTACTGTATTCAAGTCAATATTCAATATTCTAAAAACAATATAAAATTCTGGAATTGTTTTATTCATGCCATTAATGAGGATACATTTCCTGGAGTGTATTGAATAAATTTTTTTTTAGTTCAATAACCTTTCTGCACAAGCAATCATCACTTTTCCAACTACAATTTCAGTCTCCAGCAATGGAAGTTCACTTACAATACTATTCAATCTCATCCTCACCCCCCCCCCTCCCCGTCCTGATATTCTGGTACGTGAGCTGACTATTTTTATAACCCCCATTATAAACTACTCACATCACGTCTCTGGTATAAAAATGTTACTGGACAATATTTTGCTCTTTATCTTTGATCACCAATACTGTTTCCTACAAAAGAGGACAACTTTTCAATCCTCTTCACTCATCTACAGAATCTCTAAGAAGCACATTTTCCCCCTTTCCTCACGCAGTGACTAAACAAAACATTTTTAGTCTCCTCATGCACAACAATCTAAAGAGCATTATTTTTCCTGCCCTCACTCATCTCAAACATCACATTTTGTCTTCACCTAACTTATCTCACTCACAAACAGTTACCATTCTTCTATTTCTGATCCAAATACAGTACAGTATTCTCACAACCACATAACATACTGTATAGTTAACTCTTTTTCATGTAAGTTTATTTAGTATGTAGACACCATTGGGTGTGGTAATTTCAATTAGCATTAATGTGGAAACCAAATGAAAATTATTTATTTGATGATATGCGACACAGTTCAAAGCATACAGTAAGGTCCATCTTTAACTAATGATAGCACAGTATAAAAAAATACAACTTGCTTTTAATTGCCACAGATATTAAAACTGCCTTAAGTGTCACCAAGAAGGTTGATAAATGATCAGATATTTTGTCCATTTTATACCATATATATATATATATATATATATATATATATATATATATATATATATATATATATATATATATATATATATATATATATATATATATATATATATATATATATATATATATATATATATATATATATATATATATATATATATATATATATATATATATATATATATATATATATATATATATATATATATATATATATATATATATATATATATATATATATATATATATATATATATATATATATATATATATATATATATATATATATATATATATATATATATATATATATATATATATATATATATATATATATATATATATATATATATATATATATATATATATATATATATATATATATATATATATATATATATATATATATATATATATACAGTTAACCCTCACTTTACGCGGTTAATGTAACCCGGTGGGTACCGCGGAAAGTGAGAAACGCGTAAAGTGAATAACATAACATATGGGATTAATTGAAATGGAGTCCGGGCCGATCCCCAAACTCCACTTTTTGACGACACACAACTATGTTGTAGTAAAAATATTATCTAAACTTTATGATGGTATGCACACACAATTAATAATTAAGAGAAATATCAATAATATTAGGTTTTTTAACACTTACATTAGTAGAAAAAATGGCTGGGCACACGGGGATGGGCGGTTGGTTCCGAGGCAGAGGGCAGATTATTGGCCCTCACCTGTGTCACTTGTATCAATTGTATCACTATCCACCACAGAGGCTTGCAGGGCCTCTTTGTCAAACTCCCCCAAAGTCCATATAAGTCCATATCCTCACCATAATTATCACTATCACTGACTTGGGCCGGCTGTGGTGGGTGGGGGGTGAAGAACTGGTAATGTTTTGATGACTGGGCGACCTTGTGCGCACCATGTTCGCGCAGCTTACACAACATGGCGGGAGGTTTGGATCCAAAAATGGCGCGGCTCGCCAGCCGCTCTCCGCGTAAAGGGGTACACGCACCGCGGAATGTGAGCATCCTGGGTTCCGGCAGGGCACCGCGTAAACGTGGAAACGCGGAATGTGGGACCGAGTAAAGTGAGGGTTAACTGTGTATGTATGTATGTATGTATGTGTATATATATATATATATATATATATATATATATATATATATATATATATATATATATATATATATATATATATATATATATATATATATATATATATATATATATATATATATATATTAGTAGTATTCTCAGCTTAACGCTGTCAATTGAACCCACAGGGTACCGCGTTAAGTGAAAACCGCGTTAAGTGAACAACAGAACATATGGGATTAATTCCAATAGAGACTGGCCCGACCCCCAAACTCCACTTTTTGACGACACACAACTATGTTGTAGTAAAAATTTTATCTTAACTTTATGATGGTATGCACACACAATTAATAATTAAGAGAAATATCAATAATATTAGGTTTTTTAACACTTGCATTAGTAGAAAAGATGGCTGGGCACACAGGGATGGGGGGTTGGTTCCGAGGCAGAGGGCAGATTATTGGCCCTCACCTGTATCACTTGTATCAATTGTATCACTATCCACCACAGAGGCTTGCAGGGCCTCTTTGTCAAACCCCTCAAAGGCCATATAAGTCCATATCCTCACTATAATTATCACTATCACTGACTTGGGCCGGCTGTGGTGGGTGGCGGGTGAAGAACTCGGTAATGTTTTGATGACTGGGCGACCTTGTGCGCATCGTGCCCGCGCCGCTTCCCGCGTATATGATGAAAAATTCCGCGTTAAGGGTGACAACCCTTTTTCCGAAATTCCGAAAATCGAAAAGCTCTGAAAACTGAAAGATTTTTTGTGGAGCAATTTTTTTTTTTTTTTTTTTTTTTTAAACAGGGATTAGCTCACCCAGGCATAGATCACTAACCCACATCGGGGCCTGGGGGGCGAAAATGTAATAGTAATAGTAATACTAATTATTATTATAATAATAATAATAATAATAATAATAATAATAATAATA